AACTTCAATGTTTTTCCAACAATTGATTAAATTGTTTTCACCATATGACGTTAAAATTGAACAAGTACAATCGAGTAGTCGAGCTATTTTTCCAGCAACTGCATGGTATGCATCTTGGGGTGTATGCAGGTGACGATCATGTAATAGTGGATCTAATGGTCCAGGCGAACGTAGTCCATATTGAGAACAAAGACGAGATTTTAAATTATTTGATGTTTGGTGACTTATATGTTGGAATTCATTATCTGTTATTTGGTGGTATCGACCATGACAATATATATCATATGAAAGATTAGTTAATTGATCTTTAGGTGCCTTGCATGCACGACAACCTCTATATGCATTATGGCGTAAAACTCCAGCAATATCGTTTCCCTGAGGCAGATCCGCCGTAAAAACACCTAATCCTCCAGTTATCCAGTAATCTATTCCATGTAAATTTATCACAAAACCTTGTTCAAGTTTTTTAATTTCTTCGAGAAAAGGTTTAATAAAATCTCGAGTATCTCCTCCAAAAGGTACAAAACCAATAACAAAATGATTGCGTAATTGTTTTCTCATTTGACGCGGCATATTACCAATCTGTAGATAGATTCCACCTAACGCGTGATAAACATTGCGAAAAGTACAAAAGTTATCATAGTACAGATCCAAAAAAAAATTTAAAACAGGCATAGCGGGATTAGGTGGTAGATTTATTGATATATATTCAGCTGGATGTTGGTTACGAAATTTGATAGAGCGAATTTTCCACTGTCCATTAAAATTATATAAAATTTCATTAATAGATAAATCAAAAAATGGTGGTTGTTGTTGGTCTTTAAGCCAAACTTTAATCTTTCGAATTAAAGATGATGGCTCTATGATATAATAACTTGGTTCTTCCACCAAAAACCATTCTTGTTGTGCACGTAATAAACGTTCTTCTGAATATAAATTTTGTGGAATCTTGTTGTAAGGAACTATTCTCTGCATTTGAACTTTCATCAAGTTATTATGAATTACAAATGATTGTATTCGACCATGTTCCAAAGAATTTTGAAAAAAATATTGAACGAAATCACCGCATTTGAAAGAGCCTAAAAACATAAGATTTTTTGTATATAATTAAAAAAAATTATATCGACATATAGTCACACTCCCATATAATTAAAAAGATGCTTATATTATGCTTATATAGTGAGTTGTTTTTATATATTTAATAATAGTTCATCTAAAAAAAATAAATATGATTATACAGAAGATGCTTATGTGGGAGTGCAACTGTAAAACGAAATTCTTTAAAGATAATTAAATATATTTATATGGATTTGTTTTAAATAAATTACCTTGTGATATTGTTACCTCAGACTGACCAAAGAGGGGCGATTCTGCCCAAAGATTACCCTCCCATAATTCTTCACACAATTCAGAGAGAACACCCGGCCCAAAATATAATTGAGGCCTAATAGCAGGATTTTTTAATATACGTTGAAGATACTCGATTGTACTTGTTCAATTTTAACGTCATATGGTGAAAACAATTTAATCAATTGTTGGAAAAACATTGAAGTT